CGTGTTCATAAGATTATCAAAAAACTTCTTCTCAATATGCATGACATCTAAATTATGCCGCAGAAGATGATCCTTCCAATATGTCAGATCCCAGAAGATACTCTTTTTGTGCCAATTATGTAGTTCTCCAACATCATCTACTGGATAATAAACATGTCCACCAACGTCTGGCGTCCTTTCTGTACCAAAATCTCTTATCTATGTCAACAAATCTTCCCCACAAATTTCCGGGGGTAGACTGTCAAACACCCTCTTGTTCTTTGTAAACAAAATCCTACTCCTACGATATGGATGATCAGGTGGTAGGAATCTCCTGCGACAGTCAAACCAACACGTTTTCCTTCCGTGTTTTAGTTGGAAAGCATTTGTGTTATCTTGACAATGTGGGCATGATAGCCTTCCATGTGTTGTCCATCCAGATAACATACCATATGCTGGAAAATCACTTATTGTTCACATAAGTACTGCCCGCATTTGAAAGTTTTCTTTGCACGAAACATCATATGTATATGCACCTTGAGCCCATAGTTGTTGTAACTCATATATTAGTGGCTGAAGAAACACAATAAGTGATCTCTTAGGATGCTCTGGCCCAGGAACGAGAATGGAGAGAAACAAAAACTCTCGACGCAAACACAAGTTTAGCGGTAAATTGTATGGTGTAAGAATGATCGGCCATAGAGAATATTGTCTTTCATGCTTGCCATATGAGCTGAAACCATCGGTACATAATCCATGGTAGACATTTTTTCTCTTAGACACAAATTCTGGATATGTTTATTGGAAATGCTTCCATGCTTTTGCATCTGAAGGATGTCTAATCTCACCATTTGTCGAATGCTCCGCATGACATCTCATTGGTTGGGCTGTGCATTCAGATTGATACAACCACTTCAACCTTTCCGCCAGAGACAAATATCATATCCTTTTATATGGCACTGGAACTCTTCCACTTGTATCTCTGTAACGAGCCTTCCCACAAAATTTGTATGTAGCCTGGTTCTCATCCGCAATCCAATATATCATGCAGTTATCGATGCATACATCTATTACCTGATACGATAAACCAAGACTAGCTACGAGTTTCTGAACCTTGTAGTGTAAACTTGGGGCTAGATTATCCTCAGGTAGAATACCCTTTACAAAATCAGCAATCGCATGCACACATTCTTCAGCAAAATTATAATCAGTTTTAATGCCCATCAGTCTTGTTGCAGATGATAAAGGTGAATGACCATCTCTGCAACCTTGGTACAGAGGTTATTTTCCTGCATGAGACATATCAAAAAATCTCCTAGCTTCTGCATTGGGTAATTCTTCCCCTATAAAATGATCATTTACCATCTGCTCAGTACCTACACCAAAATCTACATCCGTTCTAATTGTTTCTTCTAACATATCCGATGTTTAAGGTTTGCTAATACTACCATATTCAAAATCAGTTTCCCCGTGATGATACCGAATTTTTTAACTTCGTGTAAACCCGTTCAAATATAGATAAGTCCAAACATCCCACTCTTTTATAACCTTTCTATTTTTACAAGTAGAGCAAGGACATCTTAACATACCCGTTTTTACTTCCGGTTGTCGTTGAACTACCGCCATGAATTCCCTAATACCTTTTAGGTATTCTTCTGTAAGTAATTTCGTGTCAGGATCCAAATGAGATCGATCCATCCACGAACGATAATAAATTAAAGAAGACATTTTTTTTATGAACCAAACTTGTGTGTATAAGTGAGAGAATCAGAATATTGAGTGAATGAAAGAGGATGAAGGGTGCTTGTATTTATAGATGAAATGTTGCTGAAAATTTTGACGGAATTTTCATTTTCTGTCGGAATTTCCTTGGAATATACAACGGCTATACAACGGTTATAAATGTCCCTCGGAATTTCATCGGAATATCCGACGAAATTCCGAGGGACGTTTACATTCGTCGGAATGTCGTCAGAATTTTTGAACTTTCCTAACGGCTTGATAACGATTATAATTAACCCTCGGTCCTCGGTATATCCCGACCGAATGTAGTTTTCTCGGAATCTCGTCGGAATATTCTGACGAAATTCTGAGGAAACACAATTTTTAGGTTTCCTTGGAATTTCATCGGAATTGCAGCGGGATATTCTGAGGATTTTATTGGCCATCGGTATTTTCCTTGGAATATGCAATGTTTTCTTGTAGTGTGCTCATTAAATACACAATTAGCCAATTTTGTGAAAAACCATTCCCAAGAAGGTTCATCTTCAGCATCTACGATCCCAATGGAAATATTTGAAAATTCTCATCTTGTGCGGATGAAATTAACATAACACCTCCATATTTCCCACTTAGGTGAGTCTCATCCACCACAATGACCCTTCTCTGATGCTTAAAACCTTTGATAGAAGCTCTAAAAAAGAGAAATAAATAGTTAAATATATTGATAGAATCAAGTTCTATAGCCGTGATAGAATCGGGATTTGCTAAGAAGATTTGCTCAAGATATGATGGCAGACACGAATATCCATCTTCTGATGATCATCTCACCAATGTTTGTGCATATAACAGAGCTCTGTATGAAGTAGTGTAATTAAGCGTCATGCCAAACATGTTCTTCATTGCATTAGTGATATGTGGCAGAGTCAACCCCTCAATGATTCCACACGATCAATAAAAAGCCTACCAACATACTTCGGAGTACAGTGTCTCCGCTGAGCGATTCGGTCTCCCACTGAGCATGTATGTGTTTCCACATACTTTGTTACCCAAAATGTGTTTGTCCCTTGTTTCATACTCGCTCTGATCTTCCATCCACAACCACTAACCCGCCATGTTGCTACAAAGAGAGTTTTCATTGACTTGTATATTCTGAAGGAGAACCTACGCCTCACTGATGTTAACCGCAGCTCTGAAAGCAGTGCATCCTTGCTAACAAAACTCTGGTTGACATAGATAATTTTACCATTCAGTCTTCCTCTTTCAATAGCATTTGTCTTTTTGAAATCTTCAAAACACATATCATCATCATCATCATCATCATCATCATCATCATCATCATCATCTTCTTCTTTATCCTCATCTTTAACCTTTCCATAAACACTGTAATCCTCACCATTCTCGTCCGCTTCACCAACAATAGAGATATCAGCATCCTCCTCCCCATCATCCTCCTCCTTATCATGATTTTCATTTTCAACCAAATCATCATCATCATCTTCAAAACATTCATCAGCTTCATCATCTTCTTCTCTTTCCTCTGAAACTGTTTCCACCTTGCTACGCCTTGATACACAAAGCCATACTCTATTCGTTTTGGTTATCTCGAGCAAGTTGTGAACTTTCCTTTCACTTATAACATGGAGAGGAGGGGTGTCTAGAACCATCTGTTGCATCATTTCTGCTGGTAATGAGTAGGTTATCTCCACAGATTATGTGCTCATGTCCAAGTTATAATCTTCTTGAGCCATTGCAACAAATTCATTCTCGCTTCATTGAAATTATCAACCACAAAATCTCAACACTAATCTTTCAACAACAATTCTCCATACACTGCATGTAAGTGACGCATCATCTGCAAAAAATCAAAATAAAACACATTAGTAAACATAGACAAAATGAAATTTTACTAAACATTGACACATACGACATACATGTAAGTCGTCTGAAAGACTTAAATGACTTACAAGTAAGTCGTCCAAACATGTCATTTTTGCAATTGACTTTTAAATGGGATAACTTACTTGTAAGTCATCCAGCTTTGTTTGTTAAAAAAAAAATTATAGACGACTTAAGAGTAGATCATCTAGGATAAACGGGTTAGTTTTGCATTTGACCGAATTGTGTCAGCTATTTGACGTTTCTTGGACGACTTATCAGTAATTCGTCTCTGGGAAAACAAAAATTTTAATATTTTATTAAAGTTAGACGACTTATCTGTAAGTCGTCTCAGGTTAGTTTGCAGTTCGAAAATAAAACTTAAATACTTAACTTTTCCCAAATGACTTACTTGAAAGTCGTCCAGTTAGACGACTTACGAGAAATTCGTCCAAGATAAGCAAGGTTTGACCAGGATCTCGAAAAAAATATGGACGACTTTGCTTATCTTAGACGACTTTCAAGTAAATCGGACGACTTTCAAGTAAATCAGACGACTTTCAAGTAAGTCGTCTAACTGGACGACTTCGGTGTAAGCCGTCTGGGAAAATTTAAATATTCAAATTTGCTTATCAATTCTAAAACTAACTCTGAGACTACTTACAAATAAGTTGTCTAGCTTTAATAAAATATTGAAATTTTTGTTTTCCTAAAAATGACTTACTGGTAAGTCGTTCAGGAAAAGTCAAATATCTGACACAATTCGGTCCAATGTAAAAGTAACCCGTTTATCCTAGACGAGTTAGTGGTAAGTTGTCTAGGGTATTCTCTAAATTTTTTTTAACAAAAAAAAGATGAACAGAAGACTTACCCGTAAGTCTTCTACAGCCAGACGACGTACGTGTAAGTCTTCTACGCAAACAGATCTGGAAAAAAAATCAATTTTGTACCTTAAACTAGTGAGATGACTTCCTTAGCACACAGAGTCTTCTCCAACCACTCAAAACCTCAAACGAAAGTAACCCAGTAAAAATAGTATGCTTGAATGGCTCTATCAACCATAAAAAATTTTGAATCATAATCTTGAGTTTTTGGATGAATATAGAAACAAAAGTGAAAGATATGTTGTTTTTAGTTCATAACAAAGAGATAATGTAAATTGATTTTAAGTGCACTAAGAACATCAAAGTAGTTGTTAATGGTGGTTAGGATATTGATTGCAATGACAATCTTATAAATATTTGAAAGAATATGAGGTTGTGAGAGTAAAAGACCATTTTCAAAAGAAAAAATTTAATAACATTTTCGTAAATAATGTGAATATGTAGAGCGAAAAGAAAAAAAATTAATTTTATGTTTAACTTTGAATTTTTAGTCAGATTTGCAAAGAAAAAAAAGAAAAAACTAAATAAAATATATTAGTTTGAGTTTGCATTATGGATAGTTCTAGTTCTCCTTTCTCAAGTTGTCAAATGCAAGGAAATACAATAAATGAAGAAAACTACACACGGTTTATTAATCAAAAGATTAACATTTTTATTATTTATTATATGAAACACAAACAAAACACTCAACTCAAAGGCTTTACACGCCTCTCAACATCGAACTGAACTTCAGATAGACCAGTGATCCCTGCAGTTATCTTCTGTCCTATCTTTACAGGTCCAACACCTTCTGGTGTACCTATAATTTGAATGCATAGTCTCATAAATTTTGTTTCTATCATTTTTAAACATGGAAAAAGAAACAGAAACTGCTAGTAAAATACCTGTCAAGATGACATCTCCTTCGTATAGAGTCATTATAGAGCTTATGTAGCTGATGAGATACGGGACCTTGAAGATCATATCCTTTGTCAAACCCTTCTGTCTTGTTTCACCATCCACCTGAAATCACAAGATGGATTCAGTTTGGTCTTTGCACACTGAGCGAAACAACATTTACATTTTAAAGCGTCATCGGGACAAAGAGAGTGCGGGAAGACAAACCTTCAGCCAAAGTTCTAGGTTATCAGGATCATGCACCATTGCCTTTGGCAGCTGAAACGCGACAAGAGAAACAAAAAAAAAAACTGAAACTAAAGCAATAAACCTCCTGCGCCGTGAGACTTTCCTAGTCTCAAGTAGATAAAACAATCACCACAACAAGTTTGAGAAACAAATTTTAGGCCAGAACCCTAACCGCATAATGCTGCAATCATACAGGGAAGAAATGGTCCATTCCAGAAACAGAAAGTATCATTCGTTTTCATATAATCTATAATATCATGATATATCTTAGGTTACAGAAGAATACTTACAACAGTGCTTATTGGAGTGAAAGTATCTTGTCCTTTAGCAAGAGTCCAAGGGAGACCAGATGCCTAAAGAAGCAAGAATTTAAACACAATGAATGCTAAAGCTCGAAAAACAACATATCTTCCTGTAATGAAAAAGAATCTGTGTATATGCAAAACTACACATGGATGAAAATGGCAGCTGAATTCAGCCTTAAAAGCGTAAATGATGATCCAAGTACATTAAAAACTCTCAATCATAGATGGTTTAGAACTCAGAAAGACTATCATGAAAGCAAGAAATGTAAGGAAACAAGAAGGTCAGGAGTGAAGTTTGTAAGCATTGAAGCCACCAGAAGATGGATTGAAATGAGCTAGAAAAGGGTTGTTACCTTGGCAGAAGCTTGGAGTTCCCTAGCAGTCATATCAAGAGCAACCGCATATCCTTATAAAACCATGAAAAACATCAAAAATGTAAGCAGAGATGATGATACATCATATCTATAATTGAGAGAAAGCAAAATAAAGAAAACCTCCAATGTAATCCATGGCTGTTGACTCGGGTACATCTCTAGCCTTCTCTCCCATCACTACAGCAAGCTCCACCTCATGATGAAGTGAATCAAGAGGATGCGGGATCTCAATCGTTCCTCCGTTCTCTAAGTATGATGAAGTCGGCTTTAAGAATATAACTGGTTCCTGTTTTCACCAATTCAACATCAGAGATATATAAATATGCAAAGTCAAAGTCCATTCGAGATTGAAATCTACGGTTTGTAAACGCATGCATCTCTCATTCTAGGGATTGTGATCAAAAGAGAGAGAGAGACCTTGGGAACGGCGTTGCCTAATTCTTTGGCGTGAGCGGCGTAGTTTCGGCCTACGCAGACGATCTTGGTGCCTTGCGTGAATAGCCTATTTATCATCGACGTCGTCATTCTCTCCGATCTGATTGATACCAATACTCTCTCTTTCTCTCGCTCGTTGGAGAAATAGAACTTTGCTATTGCGTCTACAATTTAAACGGAATTTTACTCTTTCAACCCCCTCAAACTTTTATTTCCTTACATTTGATTCCTTTTAACTTTTGCTTAACCTATTTTGTACTAATTGAGGAACAAGCAGCAACCACAAACCGGAAAAAAATCCAGTTTTTCTGAAAACGGGAGTTTTAAAATCGAATGTACATTCAGTTTAGGGGTTTATACTTGGTGCAAGCCTTAAAAACGAACACATACATACGTAGAACACAAGTAACTAACTACAACGTGATGACAATAATGCGATTTAACATCCCAATTTGTTTTTTACTTTTTTTTCAACGATGCGAAGCTTTCTTGGTTTCGGAGTTCTTAACCGGACTTGAAGAGGAGAACAGCTTTTTGGTCGAGGTAGAAGTAAACGAAATGGTTTGTCTCGTGTGTTACATAAGAACCTGCAGGGGAAATGAATTTGATCGGTTAAGGAACGAGTAAAGATTATATAGGCAAGATTATGAACATCACAAGTAGTAGAGTAAAATACTATTCTCATCCACACGCAATATAGGTTTAAGAAACGTGTATCCCTTGTTTGTTTGTTGGGATGCTATTGTATGCACAGGGCCGACCTTGAACTGTGAGACTAAGGTGTGGCAATTACGATCAGAACCACTAAATGTAATTGTTCAAGAAACACACACAAAAGACTTAAATATATAAAGATTCGAACAAGGGAAAAAAAATGAACTCTGATGAAGCCTAGCTAGCTATAAGATATATATCGAAATTTCATATTGTAGACTAAATTAGTTGCTTAATAATGTAAAAACATACATGTTAGTCACTGAGAAAACCTATACATCCCATTCAAACGCAAGACTAACAACTGAAAAATCAAACGAGCTAAGAAGATATGTTGAGAGCTAAACTAAGTTACTAAGAGATCACTATGATGATCATAAGGAGAGAGTACAAACCAAAGTTGCGACCAACAATGCAATGCCAAGTAGCACCATGTTTCTTGTCAAACTCCTTTTTTATATTCTCAGCTATATCCTTCTCCACACTGTTCTTCTCAAATGCCTGCAAACAACAACAAATAACAAAAGAAAGTAAAACCATTTTTAGCAACTATAAAAAAAAAATCATAATAATAACTCCAGAGGATGATTCAATAGACTTTTAGTTAACCAATACAGCTACAAGAAATGGAATCTAGTTCCAGAGCTCACTAATTCAAGGATCAAAATCAGAAACCCCTAAGATCGAAGAATCAGGAGGAGATATATAGAGAGAGGAGGAGTAAGTGAGACTAACGGCAATAGCGATCTCGATAGCCTCCTTCTGCATATCCTCTTTCATATCAGCACTCTTTATCACAGCTCGCTTCCCTGCCGCTTCGAGCTCCGGAACACTAGATCTCCGATCATCAGGATTTGTTTGCGCCGGTGCTCCTCCGTTCACACTCTTTTTCATCCTCCCGTCACTCATTCTTTTTTTCTTTTTTTTTTTCTTTTTTTTTTGAAATCAGATTTGCCTAAGATATAAGCAGAAAAGACGACAGAAGAGAAAAGAGAAAGCACGGCGACGAGTGGGGGCAGTACAGTCCAATACACTTTCTGGTCACTGCAAATATTGCATTTTGATACGACGTCGTTTCCTGCAGATTGGGTCCAGTGCAATCCCATTACTACTTTTTCCTCTTGTATTTTATACTATTGTAACCAATATTTTCTTTTATTTTGTGTTGTAACAATATTTAGTACCGGTAGTCGTCTCAGAATCTCAGTTAGTAATTTTATCAGAGAGAATTCAAAGGAATGGAATGTCCAAATGCTGGAAGATATATCTTTGATTGAAAGTTTAGCCATAAGCCGATACTTAGATTGGGACTCTTATTGTTGGAGGAAGACTAAGAATGGGTTTTATACTGTGAAGTCATGATATTGGGTTGCCAGACATATACTTAAGCAAAAGAATATGTTTACACAGAACCAAATATCACAAAGCTTCAAGCATTTGCTTAAAAGATATGCCATTTAAAAAAAATTGTCATCTTATATGACAATTAATCACATAACATATAGTTGTCACAAAAAAATTGAATCGTCGCTCTATGTAATTTATAATATTTTTCCAAGATGAGGAGAATCTGATGAGTATATAACTCATGTTATTTTTAAATGTCCACTGGCTTTGTAAGTGTCGACACGTGTTGCTACACCATCTCACCTTAATATATATATATTCCATGTGTCCAACATATACACCAACATGGATTATCTTTTATAGAGGAATAATACTTTTGATTATTCATAAATGGATAGAGACCCTTAGCCATGGATAATCTGTTATCTCTGGAAAGTAAAAAATAAGAAATTATTCAGAAGGTGACAAAAACCCATTAAATCTAATCAGATATGCAAAAGGAGAATGCAAAGCATGGTTCATGGAAAACCAACTCCTAGTTGAACTCATACATCAATAATAACATCTCAAGTCTTACGCTTGGAGAATATATGTTTAGTGAATGGTTCATGGATCCCTAAATCTATCTTTAATGGATGTGGATGGATTTAGAAGAATAGTTTTGGACAAACACAACTTATGGGAATAAGAATTAAAGGTGAAGAGATCCGCATTGCATCTGAAGCTAGAAGCTCTATGGACGATGGAAAACATGTTGCATCATTCGACATATCAACACTTTAGGACTGACTACAAATACTTGATTGTGATGATAAAAGAGCCTCATGCATAACCAACATTCTCGACTGAGTCTAAGGATACAAGATTTGAAGAGAAGATTCCATGATTTCAAGATATCCTACATTCCTCGGGAGAAATATAAGATTATTGATTTTTAGCTAGAATTGCTCGATCTTTCATAGGTCTCTTTTTTATTTGTTATTTTATTCCAGTTTGGATATTCAGGCCATCGTAACCTTGAATAATATAATAGAAATTTTATTTAAAAAACATTATTTCTATCATGTATGTATTGGAATAGCACATTGATTTTACATACCGTCAGAAGAGATTGTAGAAGCTCTAGTGCAAATTTCTAACCGTACCACTTTATCAGATCTTTAAGATATTCAAAAGTAAAATATCAACTTTAAGATGGAAGATTCATCATAGCTAATATTTACTTTCATTTATGTATTTTAGTTTTTTATTAGATGCAGATTCGCGCCTGCGCAGAGTGAACAAAACTATAAAATATAACTTATTTTGGTTGAAAAAATCACCTTTTGTAAACCATATAATGGAAAAGTATTGATAATTAGTACTTACATATTAATACATTTTCTAAGTGATCATATAAACTTAAGATGGTAATTTCTTCCGTTAAAGATTTGGTGTATATTACTTATTTAATAAATAAGGGATTTAGTTTGGTAAAGATAGTCCAACATTCGTCATTTATTACCATTTCAAATTTTTAGAAGATTTATGAAATCTTTGATATGGTTGATATACTTGTAAATCACTTTTGTTTATTACAATTTCGCTAGCTTTCTTATGGGTCAAGTGAAACAAAGCAAAACCATATACCAACCGAAATCAGTTAGCTATATTAAACGAAACAAAATAATAATTGACTAAAGCGCGCGCGCGGATTTTATTATTCGGATGTATTCTATATAATTTAGTTTTACATGGTTTCGGGTTTGTCCAATTCGATTTTATGTTTAAAAAACAATAGCAAAACTGTCTTTTGTATTAATAGCGTCAAGCTGTGTATTATGTAGATTTAATCGTGCCGTGAAAACACTAATTATGTACGGTTGTTCGAAGTGCAAAATCAAACTCAAATTTAACTATTTGCGTTAAAAACATAAGTTGGTAGTTTAGTTACTTCTGATATTAATAATTATCCAAAGTTTTTAAAATAATATACAAACTAAATGATAATCCGCACCATGCGAAGGTGAGCTTTTTAAAATATATTGTATTTAAATACATACTTTGCTATCAATAACCTTTTTTACATTTTATTAGGGATGGACATTTGGATACCATTTGGTTCGGTTAGATTATGTTTGGTTTAGATCTTTGCGGTTTGGTTCGAATCTTCGCAGGTTCGGATAACCCATTTAATTTTTTTTTTAAAGATTAAAATTCATATATACTTAAATTTTTCAAAATATAAAAGTAAAATAATATATAACATATAAATTTGACAAATGAATGCTAAAATACTTAAACTTAACATAAAATTGATTTATTTTAAATATTTGGACAAAAAATCAATAAATATTCCAAATATTCTTGGTATTTGGAGTATCATTTAGCTATTTTAAAAAAAAATTACAATTAATAATTTTATATATTTCTAAGTATTTTAGAAAATTTTAAAACAAAATCTCATGTATTTTGTATATTCGTAGATGTTAAATCCCATTTGTAGCTTTTACTATATAAAGTTGAGTTTATTGTATAGTAAATATAAAATAAAAGACGACTTTGACATGTCAAAAATGTAGTAATATCTTTACTTACTTCTTTATCAACAAAAACCATTTCAATGGTGTTTCCTGATTCTTTGTTATAGTTTTTTCACAAGCGGATAATCCTAATTTTAATACACGATCAATGTATCTTTACGCGGTTTTAATTCTTTATCATAAGAAACAACGCTTTTGGAGACTTGAACCAATGCCATTCTTTTTAAAAAGTGAAAGCAAAAGAGAAGAATGTTTGTATTTTAAAACCTTGGGGGTCGCCTAATATATATATATATAAGTTCTTATAATAATGACATTTCCGTTTTAGTATTAATAAGAAATAGTGAAATCGTTTAATAAAGATATTTAAAATTGTATTGGCATAAATTGATCTGCATATGATATGCTTTTAACTTGCGCAAGTAATTCATATTAGAAAGATAAGTTATTAAAAACAAACAAACTAATTACAAACTAATTAAAACAAACAAGATAAGGTAAATTACATTTAAACAATGTAATAAATACAATATCAAGATGCATAAGTTTTCCTTAGGGAATAATAAGGAAAGTTATTAATAGACGAAAATTAAATAACCTCTTGGTATAACGAAAGTAGAGCCTGAATCCTTTTCGACTCATCAGCCAAGCGTTTTTGTAGTATATGATTTTTCACCATGTGCATATTGTTCATAAACCTATCCAACAAGTACAAGAAGAAGCTTTTAAGAGGGACGTGATTTGAAAGTGACCTCCTTCTATGACTACAAAACACAACACTGAATACTAGCCAAAATGTTTAAACCAAAGTCTGAAACCACAGTTTTACTACTATGATTCTAATATCCAAAAAACTGAAACAAAAACAGCAAATTTGATTTAGTGTAGCTGAACCAAACAGAAATTCATTGAAATATATACTTCAATCATATAAATTAGTCAAATAGTTATTTTATAGACATTCTATTTATACGTTTCAAAACCTAAAAACTGCATCAGACTCAATTGCAAATGGTTAAATTCGATCTTAGTTTGTCTAAAACTAAACCAAACTCTATACAAGTTGTAAATTTGTCCAAGGGATTACCTGTTTATGGATATCTTCTCTTAATAGGTTTGGACATCTTGATGCGTACACATGTTTTAACTTTACTGGGTCACTAAACTCTCAGGTTGCAAATTGCTGCACGAGTTCAAATTCAATTCCTTGAGCTCTTGGCAGTTTAGGAACAAAGCCTGCATCAAAAGACCAATAATATGAGAACTTGGATTTAAGAGAAAACTTATTTCCAGATCACTTGTGAGGAATCTCACGTCCAAACTGGAGCATCCCCACAAGCTGAATGACGTCAACCTTTAATGTTTAATAAACATCTTCTGATTGTAGCCTGCTGTCTTTTAAGGAGTAGAACTCTTATCTTCAAGAGTCGGATTATCTAAACTGGGATCAAATACAGTCATGCCACAGTCCATCTCAAGAAGAGGCAGTTGAGCAGTAGCAAACTGAATGCCGCCTGAAAGAATACACATTGTGGTTCGTATCGAAATTAACAAGTAGTTTTGAGAGTGTATCAGGTAAGAAATCACAGATCATCCCGAGGCCAGTATAAGTAATGCTGGAACTACAACCAACCAACAAACAAACAAACAAACAAACAAACAAAAACATGTCTCTCAATACACTCTTCATGTCAATAAACCACAAGAGCTGTAAATAGAATATACTTAGCTAGACCAAAACATACCCACTCAGATCGAGCAGTTCAAGGTTTTTGTAAATTGAGGTAATGGCGGCTACAGACACATCAGTGATATCGATTCCAAGAATTAGCGAGAGAATTCTCAAACACATGTACGATAAGGAAACTGACATCAGTCTTAAGAAACAGTTGTTCTCTCAATGGAACACTGGACTAAGAGTCCTAGAGAAAGAAAAATGTGATTTTTACAAACAAAACCAAGACTGGAAACTAAGAGATTTCAGACAAACCTGAAATTTACAGCAGAAAGAGCAAGTTTAATATATAGATTCACGAACAGTGACGATCCAAATCTTAGTTCATCAACAATCTGATTTTCGAACTACCAAGAAGGATCTAAACTATAACAGAAAAATTATAAGGTATCTTCTCAATTCTACGGGAAAGAAAAATCCAATCAAATCAACGAATCCTAGGATTCTCAGAACTGAGACAAAAAATCGAATAGGATCTGAGAAGACTCACAACGTTTCGGAATCTGAGAGAAGGAAGATTCAGATTGATTTCACAAATCGGCTTTTTGGAGGCTCTGTTTGAGTGACACATGTCAAGAAGTCACTAAAGTGACTTCTTTTTTGATATATAGGGGGATTAAAAAATGTTTAAGACCCATTAGAAAAACGATTGGCTGAACTAAAAAATGTTATCTTTAACTAATCACAAAATTTTCAATGTGAGTTTTTTTACCATTTTAGTAATTTATGGTCGTTTTAAAATTCAAAATATAACATATAAGAAAAAATCTAAATTTTTTTATTATATGATTAATGTGATTGTTTAATTTATTTTAATAATATAAAATTAAATAAAAAGAAAAGAGGACAAAAGTTGTTATCAAATCTTTATTATTCATAAACATTAATTGTGATATATATATATATATATATATATATATATATATATATATATATATATATGTTAATCATATTAGGTAATTCCGTAGCTTTTATTTAAGAAAACAATATGAAATATTCTTTTGTACACTACTAATTAAATATGATAGTTAGTGTAATAAAAATATAATATATGCTTAGTTGAACCAACATATTTCTCTAAGAGTTATGAAAATCATTCTCATGCAGCAGTGCGAAATTGAGTTTCTCGTCTGGTGGATCTGTGACATGTGGCTACCAAAATAATGTTGTAATGCTCCATGATTAATATATAGGAGATTTAAACTACTAATCAAAAATATTCTATGTGAAATTTTTAAATGTTTTATTAATTTATAATCGTTTTAAAAAATTCAAAATATAACATATATCAAAAAATCTAATTTTTGTTATGTATTTGATGTTATTGTTTTGTTTTATTTCACAATATAAATATAACAAAAAATAGTATAGGCTATAAATTATTTTATCAAATCTTAATATTCGAATCATTAATTGTCACATATATATATATTATTACCATATTAGGTAATTCCGTAAATTTTATTTAATGAAATAATGAATAGTATTAATAATAGTTTTATGTTTAGTTTCACAATATAAGTTTTAACAAAAATAGTAGAGGCTATAAATTTTTTTTATAAAATCTTAATATTCGAATCATTAATTGTCATATATATAATAACCATATTAGGTAATTCTGTAAATTTTATTTAAGGAAATAATGAATAGCATTAATAATAGTTTTATGTTTAGTTTAATAAAAAGTATATTATATGTTTATGTGGACCAACATTTTTCTCTAGTAAATTTGAGAAGCATTCTCACGATGACACATGTCTACAAAAATATGTTGTAATGCTTCTCAATTAATATATAGGGTATTTCTAGAATGTTTCGCCTTAAGCTTTATTTTATAGGTTAGGTCAAATTCAAACTTAAATTTGCAAGTTTGGAATATTTTCTGATGAAAATTTTCATAAATAATTTAACAAATATTTGCTAATTTGAAAGAATTTATGTATTTAAAATATTTTGCATTCAAATCAGTATTTTTAAATTCAATCCGAACCACGGTTAAACCGGTGATCGATAATTCAATTTTGATTTTTAAAACTATCCATTTATAAAAAATTACTAAAACTCGAAACTAACCGATTGAACCGATGAATAACTGATATGTAATATTTAAATAATTTAAAAGTTTATTTTCGTTGTTTTATATATTATTTAAAATTTTAATTTATCTAAATAATTTGAAAAACAAAATTGTGAGAAATTATTAAAAAAGTGTGAGATCTAATATTTTCTATTGTTTGGAACATAAGATTAATTATAGTATTGTTTGGAAACATAGATAATAGTATAGAAATGGGTATATATTTTAGAAACATGGATAGTAGTATCAATAAATAAATATATTATTTGGAAACATGGATAGTAGTATAAAGAAAAGAATATTAGTGATTTAATGTAGGTTTAACTATAGGGGTTTTTGCAAATTTGACTCAAAACTCATGGTCAAACACAAAACTAACTTCTTCTTTTATCTCATCTTGTTTTTGTCCTATCCACCCCACATGTTCATTTTATTTACGAAAATGCCATTAAATTTTTTTTTTTATTTTTTTTCGAAAATGGCCTTTTTACTCTCTCAACCTCATCATCTTCAAGTATTTACAACANTTGTACAACCAAGGTTTGAAGCTTTTAATGCACTTAAAATCGATATCCATACTCTCTTTCTCAATTGTTATGAACTAAAAACAACATCTCCTTCACTTTGTCTCCATATTCATACCAAAAACCCAAGCTTTTGATAGCTAAATTTTTATGGTTGATAGAGCCATTTAAGCATACAATTCTTGGTGGGTTACTTTCGTTTCATGTTCTGGGTGGTTGGAGAAGACTATGTGTGCAAAGAAAGTCATCTCACCTAGTTTAAGGTTTGAAATTGAATTTTTTTCCAGATCTCTTCGCGTAGAAGACTTACCCGTAAGTCGTCTGGATGTAGAAGACTTACGGATAAGTCTTCTTGTCAAACGGACGATTTACTTCTAAGTCGTCCAGCTTTGTTTGTTAAAAAAAAAAATCCAGACGACTTAATTATAAGTCGTCTAGATAAAACGGTCTAATTTTGCTTTTGACCGAATTGTGTCAGATATTTGACTTTTTCTGGACGACTTATAATTAAGTCGTCTCTGAGAAAGTTAAAATTTCAATATTTTATTAAATC